TTACAGGTCAATCCTCAAAAGCATGCTGCTTAGCCTTCAGTATTAAAATAGTTCGGTTATTGTTAATCCTTGCCACTTGCCGACATGAATACTGCTCGTCTGTTATCGTGCACTTTACGTTTTCGCTTTAACACACAAGTTCAGGTAAGTTAAATCTTTCACCATGGCTTTATTCGGCTGTATTTATGTATTTTTTACATAAAAACGACCCGAGGTTAACGAGGCATCTGTGCTACTGCTGCTACTCAAGAGAGAAACGAATGAACGATTGAAGAATGAAATGAAAATTGGATACAAGTCAAGGGATGTTCCCAATCCAAAGCTACTAATAATCGTTATTGTTTTTTTGCTCTCGAGTAAGCAGCAAGGCCCAGACCCAGGAGTGAGCAATATCTTCACAGCAAAAAGTAGTTTGTTAAACTTTATAATTGGTGCAAAATAGCTGAAGTAGAAGGCAAAACTAATTGGAAATTAGGGGTAAAGAGTCCATCAGTTTATTCAAGCTTTTCAGGTGCGACAAGTGTCGACACTCGTTAGATCGTTAAATTCTGCGATTTCCCCGTAAACTTCTACAGAATAATGTGGGCATGATTTTTCCTACTAATATGATTGCCATTAAATTGTTTAGATAATCTAGCAGTTATTCAGAAAGGACTTCTTAAAGCCGTAACTCGAACATGTTTTCATCCGGGCGCAAGTACACTGGTTCCGCTTCAGGTACCTTTTCGATAACCATATTTAGTATTTTTGAGCAAATGATTACGTACATATTTAGGCGAAGACCGAATTGAGCGGTTGGCAGCTTGTACGGCGGCTTTTGCGGTATGTTTGGCCAAAGGGTAACAGGGCAATAAAGTCAAGGGTTCTTGTTGCACTGTGTCTACTAGTCGGTGCTAAGGTTGGTTATCGCATTGTTTTCTAGGGTTGTGCTGTTCCGAAGCCTCATTAGATTCTAAATATGAAAACATGAAGAGACCAGAAAGTTCCATTACAAACAGCAAAGATCCAAAAGCTTTCAAAAAGCTGCGCCCATATTGCGTCACCGTTTTAAGTGTTTCGAGCGAATAGGAAAGTATTGGTATCGATTTAGCGTTTCAAGCCTACGCCAGCGTTTTCAGCGACTGCCTGCCAAGAGCTCAAAATCTGCTTGCGGAAGCGTTCAAAAGGCCGGCGTAGGCAGAAAACGCTAGATCGATCTCTATACTTTCCTAGTCGCTCAAGACGCTGCCGTACGCTCAAAACGCAGGCGAAAAGTATGAACGCAGCCAAACATTTTGCAAAATTGTTTCTTCCTTCAAATATTTCGGTGTTTAGCACCTTCCTTCGGCGATCTGGACCTTCGCGGAGTTGCTACCTTTCCAGCCTCGAACTGTTGACTTATACTAATCATAGTTGTGCTCGTAGTCAGCAATTCAATTTGGGGTCCAGTATTTCACACCAGCTGGTCAGGATCCAGATTGCTGAGGAGGGACCAAAACATTCGTAGAAAGGAATAATTTTGCAGAAACTTTTGTATTCGTTTTTATAATCTTAAGAGTTTTTTACAACAGGAATTCGTGGTGCTTCTTCACGTTTTCACATTTCGGTTGTTATTGTAAATGCAGCGCAAACCCGAAAACGTTAATTGATTTAAATTCATTTAGCTTGCAAACGTGTCAGTACCTTTTCTATATCGAGACATCGTCAACTGTTATAATGAAAAAGCACCTACTTTCATACAACTCACATTTGACTCAGTTCCTAACGCTATCTTCACAGTCGGAGTATGTATAATTATTGCGTGTACGTTTTCATTTTTTTTTTCATTTTCCATAGACTTGATGATGACTACTCAATTAAAGATGAAATTTGTCAATCAAAATGAAGCATTCTCAGATGGTCTGGCTCGAGCGTCTTCTGCACTGATGAACGAACTGCGAAATGCCGTTTTTGCAAAGGTTGCGCACCATTCAGTTCGAAGCATCGCAAGGAACATATTTCTTCATCTACACTCCCTCGATCTTTCATTCCACCTTAATCGACAAACTGGAGCACTTTCGAAGGCCATAGGTTAGATTTCTTCCTATTTTCTTTTTGCTGTGATTGAATCACTGGTTTAGATCGTGGTACGAGAGGAATGAGCTTTGTTCTCTCCTCTTTGGTGTTTAACATTGTTCCTACTGCTGTTGAGATCGGAATGGTGCGTCGTTTGTTTATCTGTCTGCTACTTTCTTTTGAATATTTTCATCAAATTGAAATATTTCAAGGTGTCTGCAATTTTCTGTGGCACACTGGGATCCGAGTTTGCCTATATGACTATGGGTAGTATCGGAATGTACACCATTGCAACACTGGGAATTACTCGGTAAGTCGAATGCCTTCTTGTTCAGTGTACGTAATAGGCTGCGTTCATACTTTGCTGCAAAGTTTAGACGTACGCCAGCGTTTCGAGCGAACAGGAAAATATAGGATCGATCTATGGTTCCCAGCGTACAGCAGCGTCCCTAGAGACAAGAAAAGTATGCTATCGATCTAGTGCTCTCAGCGATTGCCCACTAAAAGCTCAAAACCATCCGCGTAACGCTCACTGCTGTCGTACGCTGGAAAGCCTGGCGAAGTTATGAATGCAGGCTTACGGTTTGCGTTTGATCGAACATCCACGAAAAATAGGACAGCAGTCAGTCGTGATTAGCTTTAATGCGCTATCCGCATAGTTTGCAATTTCTGATCCAGCAGGAATCTTCAATGTGATAAATCTGAATATCTACTCTTGTGTTTCCCCGAATCTCACTCTTATCTCTTGACGTAGTATAGTATGAGTTGTTAACCGAGATCCGGGACTGGTACATAACATTCTTAGATTGACCATTGGCGAATTTTGGTATCTCTTAACGCTTTTTCTTCTTTTTCTCTTTCTTGAAGAAGGTTTCTTGGTCGTGGAGCCCATTCTGGAAACGATTTACTGCTTGTGGTGGAGTTCCGTGATGGAACCACAAAAATTTGTTCCAGTTTTGGTGCGCGCTCCTGGGAATACGAAAAATGGTGTACAGTAGACTAATGGTTCGAATCCCCATGGTGACGAATTTTGCATTTCTGCATTTTTTGTGTTCGTACCACTATTGAAATTTTGTCTGGGTAAAAAGTACCTATAACCACCCGGCCTTTTGTTTGAGAAGCTGAAGGTCTCTCTATCGTCGAGTTCGTCTTGAATTCGTAGACCTCTTTCTTGGCGCTGCTAGAAACACACCGGTGAACTACACTTAATGGTCCCCTCATGTGCCTCTGCAGCATAATTCATTTCAAAAACGGACTCCACAACTTAAAAGAACCCCTTGTTAGCCCTCCCTACGCCACTGTCCACACATCACCCTTCCCATTTCGCCGGTTTTTTCTCCCTTAACTTCGAGCCTGCCTTCATTTCCTCGAGATCTCCCTCCTGTCTTTTCCGCTGTCGGCGCTCTATTACCTTCCGACGGTCTATCTTACTTCCATTTCCTTCTTCTGTAAGTTTGTTCCTTCCGCCTCTTTACTGCGTTTTTGCTGTAGCGTTGCACTCTTTCCATTAACGCCTCATTGTAACGGCTTATTATCTTTCTAGTTCTGTTTTGTCAATAGTTGTGTACGTCCATCTCTCCTTCCGTCACTCTACCGGTCCTTGTACGTGACAGCAGAGCAGCATACAAAGCAAACTTGTTGTTGGGTGTTTTCGCTCAGAAGTTCAATGCAAAGAAGTATTGTTGCTTCGCCAATCCGAATCCTGTATCCTATCTATAGACTATTGCAGCCAATCTGTCGGCCTCGCATCATTACTACCCTCATAAATTCAGGTGGCGCGGAAAATCTCGTTCATACCACACTAATCAAGCTCGAATAATGACCGCTAGGTGGTCGGGGCGAGGGGGATAATAAAGCGAAGTAGAGCTCCTTGATCCAACTACGAAACAGTGAAGGTGAGCTTGAGTATTAGTTTCGAGTTTCGCCTCTTTCACATCGATAGACTTGTCTTAAAGTACGCTGTTACCTTGAATCTTTGCTTGAGACTCGAACGGTAGCTAACCTGGTCTATCCCTTCGCCGCGCATCATTAACATCTGTCACAGATGCGACCCAGCGGGGGCGAAAAGCGAAAATAGTCATGCAGATCGGATAATCCCAACGCTTGCTTCGCGAACCGCCCGGCATTGGGGGGGTTCGCGGCGAAAGCAATTACACGCACACACTGCCGAGCTTGTGTATCGATTTCGCTGGCGAAAAACGCCTACCGCGATGGAGCTAGCGTTTTGTCGAAGGCGAAAAACGTCACGGTTTGGCGAAACGCCCGTCGATACGACCCTTTCGCCCAACCGCCAGTCGATATGTATCGAAAGCTTTTCGTCGAACCGCCGCGTTTCAGAGAAACGCTGGACCGCAGAGTGTGAACAATGCCTAAGGCATGGGTTGGGCGAAAGGTTTTGGTACGTATCGACGGGCGTTTCGCCAAACCGCGACGTTTTTCGCCTTCGACAAAACGCTAGCTCCATCGCGGTGGCGTTTTTCGCCAGCGAAATCGATACACATACATACTGCTTTTTCGCCCAACGCGGCGTTGCGTGGACGTTGGGCGATTCTCCGATCGATGACTATTTATTGCTTTTTTCCCAACCGCCGGGTCGCAATCTGTAAACAATGCCTAACCTCTTGGACTGAAGGAATAATAGAATTCCGTTTTCGCATTCTGGCCCCCAGAGCTTGCATTACAAATGATAAGTTGATTCACGACCGGAAATCAATTTGTTCGTAAGGACATTGTTCCTGATGCTAAAAGTGTTAATACACAGGCCTTACGAGAGGATAATGGCGAGCTGTGTCAAAATGAATAAAACTATTTTGGAAGAAGGAAGGGAAGGCGGTGTCTATTATTCTCATTGGAGGCGAGCCAGTCATTCTATTTGTATGCAGAGAAAAAAATGACTCTTTGCGTTTTATCGTTTTATCCTCTGCTTGGTTGCGTTCGGCCACTATCCTTGTTTGTCAATCAGCCCTAGAGGAGTATGGACGTTATGGAAATTAGAGGAAGCATCGGTAGGGAACCGGGGATGGAGAGAGCCCCACGTTATTTTCCTATCGCGAGATGCTTTGGACCGGATATAGAGATTGTGTAGATGAGTAAGACCTGCGCTTAAAGGGCCATGCTTTCCCCCATTGTGAGCGCCGCGTCTCAGCATCATCTAGAACAATGCGCAACTCTGAAGGTCCGCTTCATCTTACTCATCTATTTCTCGATCCCAGGAAAGGCTTTATAATTTATCTATGTATTCAGTATTTTTTTGTTTTTATACGCCTCGCCCGCCATGTTTCCCCCGTTGTGATCCATTGCTGACTTTTACGCGTTTTTTTTTTCATCTGTGAGCTGCAGTGCGACCAATTATGTTTTTGAAACATGAATTATGAAATCAATCATATCAGTTTATGCGATGAGCCCGAGACAAGAGAAAAGAGTGAGGTGATCACAACGAAAACATGGCATCAAAGTCCTTTCCCCCTTCTCGCCTATAAAGCCCACAGGGCCAGAGATTAGAATGACGATACAGCTTGTATGTAATGAGTGTGTATTTGGTACCATAGAAATAATAGAAGTTATGCCCACAACTAAGCTGTGATAACTTTCGGATCGCGCACTGCGGCGTTGAACAGCAGTTATCAAACAATAAAAGGTGTGTTTTTTTGAGTGGGTGTGTTGATTTTTCAATCTTTCCTCTTCAGTATTTCAACAACGAGAAGTTTGAAGCGGACCGCTACGACTATTTCCTGACAGAAATTTGAACACGCATCTCTGAAGACGACGTCATCTCTTGCCTTACTGAATTTCACACAGAATGCGATATTCTCCGCGGGTCTCATCGGGGTCATGTATCTCGCAGCAAACAAAATAGCTAATGGTACGTAGGTGAACTTGCATTTCACTGCTTTGTATTCCCTATCGTGATTTTCTTCAGGTGAAGCTACAGTCGGAGATCTAGTCCTAGCGAACACTTTGCTTTTTCAGCTTCTCGATGCCTCTCAATTTTCTAGGTGCGTTTTAGTCTGACACTCTGATTTTATTGATGCGTAGTCCGATCAATTTAGGTTCTGTTTACCGGGAGGTTCGTCAAGGTCTCGTTGATATGAACGCTATGTTTTCACTTCTGAATCTGAAATCGCAGATAAAGGAGAAGCCCAACGCAAAAGTGCTCACTGTCCACGGAAATGACATAAGCGTTCAGGTATAATGGCAAATATCTTGTTTACCCTTTTCATAATAGTTATGTGCGTTTTCAGATAAAAGATGTTCATTTCGGATACTTACCTGGAAAACCCATCCTCAATGGTCTCAGCATGGAAATCCCTGCGGGCAAAAAGGTCGCAATAGTAGGAGGCTCTGGTTCGGGGTATCTTTTATTTTTTTAAGTCACCCTTCTCATCAAATAGGTGCAGTCCATATCTGAAGGCAAAAAGAGGCGTAATTGTGAGAGCGGCGAGGGCTCAGACGACAAACAGGAACCTTGGTGTAAGAAAGGGGAGTACGCAGCTGTGGCCGCAAAGCTTCTATTTGCCCTCCAGTATGGGCGATGCATGGGGCGTAAGCCAAATTCCCTTCACTTGCAGAAAATCGACACTTGTACGTTTATTGTATCGGCTGTATGACGCTGAAAAGGGCACAATCACTATAAATGGCGAAGATATTCATGATCTTACGCTCGAATCTCTTAGAAAAGTGATTTCAGTTGTACCACAGGTGAGGGAGCGTACTTCATCTGAGAACATAAAGAACTAGTTTTAAAAGTGTACTTTCCTTTTGCTAAAGGATTCCGTTTTGTTCCACGACACAATCTTCTACAATCTGGCTTACGGAAACCCCAAGGCCTCCACTGAAGAGGTTTACCAAGCTGCCAAACTGGCTGACCTTCACTATTCTGTTGAAAGCATGCCGAATGTAAGCTCGTTTTTCGTTTTAATCCGTCAATATTTACCTACTCACTGCATTTAGGGATATAGTACCATTGTTGGTGAACGAGGACTGAAATTATCTGGAGGGGAAAAGCAGCGAGTAGCGATTGCAAGAGCGATTCTGAAGGTACTGTCTCTGATCATACTGTAAAGTCAATGTTTCAGTATTTATAAACTTAACGAAAATTTTATTTGCTTCTGCCAAACAAGGTTGTTAGGTTGCAATCTTTTTTAATCCGACTTTTCGATCTCTTATCCTTCAGAGGCCGCTCGAAGCTTTTAATTTACTAGCCACTCGACCAAGCACTTCACCCCTGTAGCGTTTCCGAAGTGGTGTCGGGAACAGTTCAGACTAATCCGGTAATGAGAATGATCATTGCACCAAATTTCCCACCAAAATGCGGAGCGTTGCTCACGCTCCTTCAGTAACATTGATAATGACAAATAGCCTCCCTCCCACTCCTTTCGTGCTCTTTCTATAGCACAAATTCATCCAGGGAAGCTCAAGAGTCCCCCAAAAACAGAAGGACAACCGGAACGAGTGTCTGTAAATTACAAGATTAGTCCCTGCCCTTTGTATAAAACGCGAGTTATAGTGAGGACACGTTAAGACTCGAGGTGGGCTCATTCCTTCTTAGCGGGAGCAACACTCCCGGAGAGCAGCACTTTGATGGAACCTTTAGAAGTTTATCATTCTCATTATCGGGTTATTCTGGAGTGTTCAGAATGCAACGTCGGAAACGTTCGAGAGAAGATGGTGCTCGGTCGGGTAGCTTATAGGTTAGGCCTCCAGCCGTTTACTCGTCCTTGAAGGAGACAAAAAAGTCGAAACGTCGGGCTAATAAAGGTTTCCATCTAGCAGCCTTGTTGGCAGAAGTAAAAATGAATTCCACATCATGTCGAGGTTCAAGGAGGGAAGACATGGAGATTGTTGGACAAAAATATTCAATGTTCTAACATCTATTAGCTAAATGTGTTAACTATAGGATGCTCCCTCTCGTTTTACGCCGAGCTACGTCGTCATTGGATGCTATCACAGAGGCTAACATTATGAGATCATTGAAAGAGGCAATTCAGAAGAGGTCTGATAGTTTAAGAACTCATGTGAGTACGGCGTTATATAAAATGTTTTCAGAACCTCTCTATTCATCGCTCATCGATTAGCTACCATATATGATGCCGATATAATTTACGTATTGGACCGAGGCCAAGTCAAAGAGTTCGGTTCGCATGATGAACTTATGCGACGTGACGGGTTGTATGCGCAGCTCTGGAACAGCACATTCCAATATAGAACACGCTGTACGGATAAGAATGCTACCCTATCATCTTTTCAAGTGCACCTCAAGTTCTTGCCATTTAGACCTAAGGAGCAACAAGCACGACCATATGGAAGAAATTGGTAGCTGGAACTGATAAAATGTTGTGGAAGTTCGAGCTGTAACCGCTAGCCTGGAAAGGCGTCGAAGGCCTTGGAATAGAAGTAGTGAAGATAGTTGTTGCATCGAATTCGTTATTGTTTTGAACTAGTTACCGGCAGCTCTACTGGTGTAATTACCCCCCACAGTGATGAATCATCCTTGTTCTAGTGAAGGCGTAGATTTCTAACAGCTGCAATTTTCATACGATATCATTGTTGAATTTTGTCAGGTTTGCCCTTGTTGATGCTCGCCCATCTCGTCCAGTAACCCGTTTAGAATCTTCACTTTGCCGTGTGATAAACAGAGAATATATATACATGCATATTTCCCCTCGCTGTTTTAAACCGCAAATAAATGTTGAAAGTCATTCAGGATCTTATACTTCTGTTCTGTCTTTCGCAGTACCTATCTCAGTTTGAACTTCGAGTTCAGTTCTCCAATGCCTTTTTAAATTCAGATCGTTGTCTTTTCAGGTCCAGATCAGCATGTCGGGCTGCCTGGACCAAATCAGCTGCAATTGCAACATTGACTTAGATGGTAAGAGAAATGCTATCGCCTCAGTTACAGCTGCTACCCTATTCTCTGTTGCTTGGTGGATCATGATTGATACCTCTGCTGTTTACGGAAAGGTTAGAGCAGTCGATATTTGGTATTATAGTTGGTTTAATTTGAAAAGTGCTGTTTAAAGGCATGTGGCACGATAATTTAGTACTCGGTCTAAAATGCTAGCAGGGTGCCATATAGTGGGAAAATGGCGAAAAAACGAAGTGAAACGGTCAAAAACCTGCAAAAAAAGCCTTCGTTCTTCATGACTCAGAGAGTAATTTCAGACAGTTTCCGGTGGGATCTTGCCTACGGTAGATACGGCTGCACGTATATGCTAATACATTCATGCAGCACCGCAGCCGCTTCATATCAATCCCTTCGCTTCATATTTGCACTTCGCAAATGAAGCAATACGAGCATAAAGTACGGTCGTCTATTTGTGGGCGGGCTGGCGCAGCGGGCGGATCGGTATGGTGCTGCTTGATAGGGCCTTTTAAGGGTACATTCCCTGGGAAAGGCGCTACGCAGCGCCTACTCGCGGAATTGTGTCCTGCTAGCCGTGTTGATCCTACTCGTCCTAGGGATTTGTCATGCCAACTGCCTTTAATGCTGCAGTTCACACTCAAAAGTTATCGCATGGATGCTGAGTTATGGGCAGAAATCAGACTCCCGAAAACACCCAAACCCGTGAGCCCCCTGATGGCATAATGGATAGCGCACTCGCCCGACCAGTGGCAGATA